CTAACAGTATTTCTGGTGATACTGATGCTGCCAATCTAGAAACCAAACAATGAGAACTACCGTACAGTATAAATGTTGTCAGAGCAACAGGAAGACATCTAAATCAGATTAGAAAAGTAACCTGAAAGAAGAGTTTGAGGATGAGCTGAATTCTCAAGAGGTAGTATGATGAAAGGGTAGATGAGGGTATGGCAGTCTAAACAGAAAGAACAGTGCAAAGGGACAGTAACAAAGGCATAAACCAGCACTCATAGTCTGAGTATTATATGCATAGTATTGCTCTAGTTGCTAGATACAGAGAAATAAAGCAAACAAGGCCCTTGCTCTCATCGAACTTACAAACAAATCATATACTGTAAAATCCCATAAAAGAATGGAACTGGCTATTGTGAGAGAGAATGAGAACCTCTTAAGAGGTAGCATTTAAGTTGATACCTCCAGAATGCTAGAACATTCCAGAAGGAGAGCTTGGTGTCTGTAAAGTATAAATCATAACAGTGGGAGCACAGTGACTGAGAGTGTGTACAGATGATGAACTTAGAGAGATAAATAGGGATCTATTCCACAGGATAAAGTAAGGAGCTTGCTCTTTGGATGGATAAACTATAGTGACTAGACCAAAGACTAGCAGAAAAACAATTCCAGGTGAAAAGTGTTGAGGGCTTGAACCACTGCATCACAGTGGTAACATAGATGAAGATAAAAGATAAGTGAATCTTTAAGGATTTAGCAAGCATCTAATTGCATATGAAAAGTAACTGAACAGAAAGAATATTAGGGTGGTATAGACGATTTTGGCTTGAACAACTACCTCGGTTCATGAAATGAATTCATCCAACCATTCTGGAAAAGATGGCCATGTTTGTGTTCATGTAGGAAAGAGGGCCAAGGTAGTGTTTATCATTATCCAATGCAAAGTTTGCAAACAAAAACAAAATTTTGCCAAACACTTCTGTTTGCAAACCAAATTGTTCACAGACAAAAACATTCATGAACCAAGATACCACCGCAGCCATTGTTTTGAATAGGAAAAGAAGAAATTGGTTTGGGTGTAGGAGGAAGGTAAGCTTGGTTTTTGACTAAAGGAATTTGGAATGAATAAAACAAATACAATGGAAATGATTGCCACAGTTATTTAAAAACTCAGAAAGCAAGCACCGGCAGGTGATAGACTAATATTAATAAAGGTGGTAATTGGAAAAGGACCAAGGTATTCATGGTGTATTTTTAAGTACATCATTTTATGTAAAGAAAACATTAAAAACATAGTGACCAAAAAGCCAATGAAGTTTTAAAAAGGGAAGTGGACAACATGTCAGATGCTGAAGAAAAGTGGAATAAAAACTAAAGTGCCCACTAGGCTGAGCAGCATGAAGCTCACTGCTGACTTTATTAGGAATAATTTCAGTGAGATGTCAAAGGTAAAATCCAGATTACAATGAGCCAAGGAATGACTCAAAAGTAAAATAGAATAGGTGGAGCTTAGCTATAACAAAAAACCACCAGGAAATTAAGAGGAGAGACAGGCCCACATGAGAATGAGAGACCCGAGCATGTTTATGTGCTAAATGGTGACACTAAAGACAGGGAGGCTGATTGAAAAATGTCTGTAGGGAGTTATGGGATTCACTGACTTGCTCATTCACATATATATATATGCAGAGCTGACCAGAGATGTTGATGGTAGAGATGACTAAGGAAGACTAGAGACCTCCTGCTTCAATTTCTCTGGTGTTCAGTAGGCTTAAACTGTGGGAGGATAATATAAACTTGAGTATTAACAAGAGGTGAAAGTCTAAAACAGTCTTTAAGAACAGAAGATGTGGCCAGACCCTTGAAAGTGCTAAACTGTTTTGAGAACCCACACACCTGGGGCAATCTGTACTGCTACCTATCAATGGTATGCACTTAGTACACAGCAACCACCAATAGCAAGTAAGTCAGATGGCTATTTGCTTGAGCCAGGGATAAGTTTCCATAGAGCCAAAATGATGGAAAACAGGAGACCACAGGTAAGTGACAGGCCAGAGTCTACGCTAAGGAGTGAAGCCAGAGTGAACTGACTGGAGGAAAAAAATGGCTAAGGAAATGAGGGGGCCACTTGAGATCAAAGAGTAAGTATAGTGAAAGAACAAAGAATAAGGCACTTTCCACTTAAGTAAGTAACCCTTGAAGGTAAAAGGAGCTGAGAGAGCCAGGTTCCAATTAGTTAAGAAGCAGAAAAGTTTATAAAGAGCAAGGAAGACCTCTATAGCATAAAGAACTAGCTGGGAGTGTAGCAATAGAAAATGGATTAAGGAAGGCAGGTAACATATTAGAATATGAGCAAATACTGATGACTAGATGTACTTCTACTTCAGAGGCTACAGCACACACGGAGATGAAAAGCAAAGTGGATTCAACTGGCCTCAGTGTTTCAATTGCAACTCCATAGAGTGAAGGTGGCTTTATGAAAAAGCAAACACAAGTCCTGGGCAGTGACCAAGACTAGATGTACTTCAACTGTCACACGGAACTCCAAAATTAGTATCAGCTGTAAGTTGTTCTGTGTTACAACAAAGCTTAATCCTAATTAGAGAGCATGGCGGGTAAGGTAAAAAAGACTAAAGCTGTTAAGTTGGCCAGGTGGCCTGCTGGTCACACTAGAGCATGGAGAGGGAACAGACCCATGTTCTGAAGAGGCTGAGGATAGAGAATTACTTGGTCTTGGGGCAGACTGGAAGTGCTTGACAAACTCTGCAATATTCAGACACAACAGGAGAGAAGACTATGGGTAAACTCTAAGGTGGATGTCTGTTACCAATACATATCCTAAAAGTAGAATAGTCAGTATAGGTTATATGCTCCCTCCTCAGGGGCAATGATTCTTCTGTCCTTAAGTGGGGATTTGGACTACATAATCTCTACTCTTCATTAAATTACATAATTTTTTAGGAAGAAACATACTTAATGATCATCTACATCTTAGTCTATCAAGGAAGGGGCTGTGACTTAAATTTCTTTGAATCCACGTGAACCTGTACTTGGTAGGACACTATGGTCCCAAATAGCTGACACATGGTCATACACAAAGCTAAAATCCAGATTACTTGATTCCTAACTCGTGTTCTTTAGATGACATAATTCTTAAGATTTTTATCTTGCCTTTTGAAAAAAAATTTTTTAATCTACAGAAAATTATTTCATTTCTATGTCTCTTACAACTCAAAAAAATGGCAGAATGTAAGTTCACTAGCTGGAACCTCCCTAGCTGTAAATTTCTATTGTAAATTTTCTTGTGGCTCCTTTTTTCCACTGACAAGGTACACAGGACAGCTCCAAAGACAAAGCTAGAGAAAAGTCTTGACTATGTTTCTCTTGTATGAGAAATACAAATACAAATAAAAATAAAAAGAAAAGATAGTTATACGAGACAGATCTTTTGCAAATAGGGAGGGGGTTTAGATGGAGAGGGCAAGTACAAAGGATTAAGATGTGCCAACTCCCCGTGATGAGTGTAATCATTGCATACTGCAAACATGTACCAAATAAAAATTTTAAAAACAAAAAGTCTGCCTACTAAAATTCATAGAACTATGACATATAGAAATATTAATTAAGTCTTTCTTCCAGCAAAACAGAGTAGAAATGTACCTTAAAGCGCAAACAGGTGAGGAGAATTAAGAAATTCCAAAATTAGTCTGAGGTTTACTTGCATATATAGTATTTGGGTGTATTCTTTTATATAAGGTGTGACAGAAATACAAGGTGACTAAATTTATTAGTTAAAGACACACTGCCATTAATCTCCTTCAAAGTTATTACCTGTTGCTTCAAACACACTCCATTTTTCTGCAATTTTTGGAAGCAATTTTGGAAGTCTTTCCCATGATTTGAGGTGTGATTAAAAAAAAGGTGAATACTGTTGCCAAGGGCCATCCAAAGGAAAGGTATGCTTCTAAAACATGACTGCGTCCTTATCCACATTATTCACCACATCTGGCACAATGTGATTTTTGGCTTTTTCCCAGAGTCAAAATGGCCATGAAAGGTAAATATTTTCAAACTGTTCAGAACATCAAGGCAGCTGTAACCGCACAACTAAAGACATTCATGAAAGAGGGCTACCAGAACTGCTTCAGAAAGAGGCAAGAATGATGGGATGCGTGTTCAAAGCAAGTGGAAATATTTTGAGGATTAATGGTAATGTGTCTTTTACTATAATACATTTTAAACATTCACCATATTTTTTAATCACACCTAATACTGTTTTCTATTTTCATCATGTGTGATATTCCAATCAATGGTTAGGTCAGAATCTTCCACTTACTGGTATTAACCACAATGTCAAAGCCCCTAGAAATACTTGATCTACATTAGGAGGAACCCATGTAATTTTTACAAAGAAAAGGAGCTGTCACCTTATGAAATTTCAAATATCTTTTTTGTTGCTGTTGGCAAGAATATTTTCCAAGTTAGAAGAAAACCACGTATTTTCCCTCCTCCTTCCAACTAACTTCCTCCCAACACACACACACAGACACACAAACAGACACACACACAGACACACACACACATATACAATTTTTTAAAATTTCTGATGTAATGCATCCTTATCTAATATTCTTTCAGGAAATAAAACATGCTCAAAAATCAAGAAATCAAGTTATACTTTTTATAAAGCACCACCAATAACCCTAGCAAAATTGTAAATAAATATGGTAGGGAATAATCAATAGGAGGTCTTGAGTTTACAAAACACATTCCCGTTCAGACAACTGAAGTACTGTAAAAGTAAGAGCAAGGAGGACACATCTTTAAAAACCTATTAGATCCTTTTCTGGTGCACATCCTAGGTTGCATAGTGATGACTAGCTATGACCCAGAGCAAGAGAAGGTTCAATTTCAAAAATATGCTAACATCTATTCTCTCCCTCTTATTTTTATAAAATACCACTTAGCAGAGGAGAGGGGAATAAAGAAGAGGAAGGAGGAGAAAGGAGGAAAAATAGGAAAGACGAGAAGGAAGCAGAAAAGAGGAAGGAGGAGGGAGAAGGAAGAATAAGGAGGGGGAGGGATTCCCAAAGGAATTATACTTCAGGACCTACTGCAAAAGCAACTTTCTACACACATATGAAGCTAATTACTCACACATGAAACTTTATTGAACCTGGTTATATGTGGGACTTCAACAGCTCAGTTTTCTACAATTTACAATTTTCAAATCCCACTCCAAATTGTCACTTTTCTCTTTTAAAAAGTGGATAATCTCAAACTTTGAAAGAGAGGTTTTCCTAATTTTTCCTTTCATCCTTCTACTGTAAGTATTGGCCAACACAAATATACTACAGAATTAAAATATTAACAAGTAGGGAGTTTCTTTACATGCACTGTACTGCATCTAAAATCAAATGATTAAGAATAAAATTAACTGACATTTCTTGGATACAGAATCAGAGAACAGAAGTGAAGCACAGGTAAAATCTAATCTTATAGGTCTATTAGCATTTACCATGTTTTTGATTATTAGATTGTGAGCAATCAGAATAAATGTTTACCTTTTCAATTATTCAAAGTATAACATGCAGTAGTTCATAATTTTACTGAGGCACAAGTCTGAATCATGCAGGCAAAGCTGGTTTGCAGCAGCTTAGTGAGAGAGCCCAGCATCTACATCTCAACATGGCTTTTTGCAGTAACTGTCAGGAAGTGAAGTAAGTATGTATCAGAGGAAAATGTCCCCTCTTCTCTTCCCAGCTAGAAAGCTAACTACTAACACTATACTTGCACTTCTAAACTTAGGGATTTGTATAATTCTAATTTTTTCATTTTTCTTTCTATTACTTTTGGCAAAATATTGTAATGACGGTAGTGAAAAATGCCTTTGAAAGAATTAAATACAGGTTAAAATATGAATGATGAATTCCAACTTTGAGGAAATAGGAATGGTACAGAAACCTTTTAAATCAAATTTTAATTTCAAATGTTAACAGTACAGAAGAATGGAGTTGGTTGTAAATTAATTTCCTTAAAGTTGAATTAATGCTTTGTAACACCAATATTTCTTTAAATAGATTAATCTTATTTCATTAATTCCAGAGCCACAGATTTTTTTGGAGAGGGGAGCACTAATTTCACTCTTCTGTTCTTCTCAGCCTTGGCCTATATCTGTGATTATGACAGACCAAATCCTCCAAATAACTATAGAAAATACCAGTATGAATTAAATGAAATATTTAAGTTTCAAAATATCAAAAGATGACTGTCTCATTTTCCAGGTCTCCACCAGCCACAAACCATAGCAAGCACACAAATTACTCCCCAGACCGCCACCTGTCCACCCACTATATACTTCAAGATACCAACCACCTTTCTTAGCATACCCACAACTGTCCCCTAGTGACTAAGAAATGAAAATCAAATTTTTAAATGTATTCTGTGTACCTATCATTTACTTTTGAAATTTTAACCCGCAAATATTTGAAGACTTTTACAAAGACCAAACGGAAAACAATATTGTGCTTTTTTATAATATTACCCAGACAAAATTCTTAAGTGATAATCTATATGTAGTTCAGCAAAGTGAAAACTAGTCAATTACCTCACAATGTTCACTTTTAAATTGTACACTTGAGATCTCAAGACAGCACACAGCAACACTTACGAATCCCTTAACAGGTCAAAACCTTCAAATGTTACCTAGTATTAAAGCAAGAATGAGCAAACAGTAGGTAATATGAACCACAGAGAAAACATTTACAGGAAGTGGATTTTACATGAAAGCTTTTTTTCTTCTTTTTTTAAATAAGATGCCTTTTGAGTTAGATCTCATACCTACTCAAACTGTAACTGGACAGTACATTTCACTTCTAGTTACTAGAAGACATTTCTTTAAAAAAGACTGGGACAGAAAGAGAAAAGGAGACTATAAACTGTTCTAGGTCCACACCAATCTCCCCTTTAAAAAAAGGACAACTGATAAATGTAAGTCAAACCACAGGTTTTTAAACCAAAATAAAGGACACAGGATAGTGAGACAAAACACTATTTTTAGTAAAATTTTTTTTGGCCTTTAAAAAAATAGTCCCCTTCTACTAGGAGTTTACATACAGCTTACCTAACAAGAACAGAAACTGTAGTAGGAGGGAAAAGAACAGCACCGTAGTTTCAAACATTCACATATAAAAGAAAAAATAGCCAGCACAAACTAGAGTAAGATCAAGTTTCCCAACAGACAGGGACGAATCCCAAAACACAAACACAAAGAAAACAGAATTATCTATTTGAACAAAAGCAAAATGGAAGATCTAGTCAGGTTAAGATGGAGAAGGGAGTGCTAACTCCTTGTACTACATACAAAGAAGGAATGGGATTTTCTTATCAAAAAACAAAAAAGAAAAAGCAACCTCCCAAATGGATTTTTGATGCTAAAACTCTTGTCAAATGCTGCTGGTAACAGTAAATATATATATATATATATATTTATATATTCGTATAGGTATATTAAAAAAAATAATCTATTTATAGAACAGTCAGTAGTCAGAGACATTTAGAAAAAGTAAAAACAAGTCCTTTTTTTTTTCCTTTTTAAAAATGGATTTACTAAAACAACTTTATCACGCAGAGGTACTACAACTCCACATGCTCTCATGAAGTCATGTTATTATTCAACAGCATTCGCTGTGGGTCATGTTCAGATGTTGCCATGTTGGGAACAGAAGACATTGGGTCAGAGCTGCAAGGCAAGAAGCTGATACTTGCTGGTCTTGCTCATGGCCATGCCTAAAGCCAGATGGTGTCTGGAATACTTGGGAATGAAGGTTTCCGAAAAAGCATGCAGGCTGTGGCTCAGAAAGACATTCTGGTCTTCTTTTTCTTTTTTTAAAGAAGCTTGGATCCATTACCTGCTCTTCTCTAAAATGCAGACCCAAGACAGTCAAACTTCTCAAAGCCAAAAAAAGGCTTCTTGCCTTGAAATGAGAAAAACTCTTCTTCAATATAGTCATCCTCCTGCTTAGAAAAGTAAGGTGATCTGCCAGAGATGGTGTAAGGTTCTCTTACTTGAGATTTTCTTCTTGGTACAAACAAGAATAAGCAGCTGAGTCTACAGACTGGGCTACTCTCCCATTACTTCTAAGAAAAACTCTGGCCTGTTCCTTATAGTTATATTGACAGGAAATTAAAGGCCAGGTAATAGTAGTAGGAAAGATGTACTCTGATTCCTCTCCCATTATCGCAACTAAGGAGATTCAAGCAATCAACACCATCAGATGGTGGTGCTGCTACGTTATAAGCTTCTAATATCAGCTGGCCTTAAGCCACATCCTACATGCCCTGCTAGCACACCCGGGTATTAATGCCAACCAGACACCTGTGAGCTCCATCAAGTGTCTGGCCTCAATCCAGTAATCATACTCAAAGGGGATATGAATTGAAATTCTGCCTGCTGTCCCAAAGAAGACATCCTTTGCATAGATGTGCTGATAGAGAATGTAGCCCACACTGTTCATGCAAAGGGGAAGCTAACACTAAGAGGACTTTCTATGAAGGCCATTCATCTTTGGAAGCAACATTCTGAGTGGATCTCAATCACTCTACTTTATAACTAAGGTCTCAACATGGTCGACTCCCTCCATGTCCCAAACTAACCAAGTATCTGCTAACTGGTTTCTTTAAGATCCTCCATTGGCAGTTTGTAGCTCATTATGAAGGAAGAAGGTGGTGCATGACCTGGGCTATCTGGCCCCTGCTTCTTTGCACAGTTTATACAGATGTAATCTTCGTTTTCAGCCATTTCTGGAGATACACCCACACAAACTTGATGAAACCACTCATCACAGCCACCATCACATTGTACCCAGTCTACCTGTAGAAGACAAGATTGGGCAATGTTAGGTTATATAACATTAAGCCTAGAGTAAAAGCAAATCAAAGAGCTTTCTTGGCTTAAATGATAACTAACAACTGGGCTGTCCAGAAACAGACAATGACTTCTTATGGGGTTATTTTCCAAAGAAAGAATCTGAGAAGTTAATACCCCAAAATTATATTCCACCATAATGTGTCCACAAAATTAGGCCTCTTAGGTAGGTACTCCATTACCTCAAAAATACCTGGGGTTTCTTGAGAGGCAGAAACATGTTTGGGGAAAATGTGATAAAAAAAGAAACTTCTAATAGAGCAGCCAAGTAGTTTTAGCTAATATTAACAATTTCTAGGCTCTAAGACAATGCAATTATCAATCAAGAAAGGAAGAGTACAACAATGTGAAGGCAATCCTGTGTATAAGCTTTATTTCAAAGAGATAAGCCAAAGTACTAAGAGCATTAAATACCTTTTTTAGAAAAGCAGTCACATAGGCCACTTTTTAAACTAATATTTTTTTATTCTTCTCTTCTTCCGTTACAAATACAACTCCCTACAAAAAGTTAGCAAATATCAGAGGTCAAATCTTACAAATTAACCAATTATAACAGTCAAAGACACAGGTCAATAGATCACTCTGGGGTTTAAAGTTAAAATGTTGGAAAACTGGTAGGTGTCAATGGCAGATGCTAGGCAAATTTTGACCCTTCAGAGAATACCGTGATTATAGGAGTCTAAGAAAGAACTGTGGTTTGGTGATATTAAGGCTTGGGCCTGGAGTTAACAATAAAATGACTTATATTTGGAAAGTTACTAAGGTTGTTTTTATACCTAATGTCATGGTAGATGAGTACTTTAAGACAATAACAGCTACTCTCCCTCTCCCCAATACAAAAGTTGATTGTTTCATTGGCAATTGAGAAAATTACTTTAACTCATGAGCTTTATTATCAGAGCAAAGTAAGGAATATGAAAGGATCAGAGAAGCATCTCAGCACAGTTTATAAGAAAGAACAAGGTAGATTGTAGTTAGATAAATGAATTTCATTCAGGGAAAGTAAGTGGTTTTCAAAATTAGTTTTCATGTTCTATAGAAATTATCAAAACCATGATAACTACGTCAGGAGATTTAGGCTTATAATAAAGGGTGGGAAAAATTTTTGTCCAATCTTTTTGCTTTTATTATTCCTATTCTAGAATTATAGAGCTGAAGAGATAGCATTATAAAGACCACTGAACTCTGATGTATATGGATTCAGGCAAGTTGCTTAACTTCCCCTGTGGGGCTTCATTTCCCTGCTTGTGAAATTGCTTTACAAACCATGCAGACCACCTGCATCAAAATTACAAGTGCTTGTTGAAAACATACCCGGGAGCCATTCCAAACCTATGGACTCAAAGCATCTGGACAGTAAGAACCAGAAGCTGACATTTCTAATGTGTGTGTGTGTGTGTGTGTGTGTGTGTGTGTGTGTGTGTGTTACTTTGAGATGGAGACGCCTTAAATTGCCCAGGCTGACACTGAATTTGCAATTCTCCTGTCTCAGCTTCCCAAGTAGCTGGGATTATAGGCCTGCACCAGACTGATTCTTATGTATCCCAAATTTTACTGTTGATGCACCTTCTTTATGATACTGCTTCCTGTCAATTCAGAGCAACTTACAAATTCCTTCCTAAATTCCTATTGTTTTTATCTGTTTCTTGGTAGGCCTTTGCACTGAGCTACATCCCCACAACTCATTTTTTATTTTGAGACAGATTTTCCCCTAAGTCATTAAGCTGTTTAGATTGGCCCCAAACTTGTAATTCTCCTGCCTCAGCCAGACAGTGTTGAGATTATAGGCATGCCCCACCACATCCAGCTTTAAATTCCACTTTTACTGTGTAACTGCATGATTTTTATGAAATCTGTGCAGGAAAGAAAATAATTGATCATAATATCCCTGTCGGAACAAACTAATCAGAAACAACATAGGGAGATAACAGCTTTTGTATATAAGAAAATAACAGTACTGCAAGCAATAAAAATTTACAAAGTGCTATTAACGATATAGAAGATGAAGCTGGGCTGAGCATTTTAGCTGTTTTGAGCTGGTAAAGGGAGTTAGAAAGATGGCCTGCATTTCTGTGAGCTGCCTATGTTTGAGACATTATGCTGTTTTACACGCAGTTCCTGTGCCAGTAGACAGCTTTACCCTTACCTCCAACCCTCTTAATTGAATCTAATCCCCATTCATATTAGTCTATAGGTCAAAAAAGTTATTAATTTATAAGTATTTATAAGTATTTGCCAAGAAAAGTGTCTCATGTCTTAAAGCTAATTTTGCAGTGTGCTCCCTGGTTTCCAGTTTCCCAAAATTAAATTTATCATTCCCTTTTAAATAAGGCAGGCAATATTCTCCCATTGTGACTTTGACTAAAACTCCTTTTCTAAGCCTAGTTTTTCCACTATTTCAATACACACATGCACGCGCACACACACACACACACACACACACACACACACACGTAAATTTTTCCTTGAGCTATGCATTGGTACACAGATTCTATACCAGCCCACAGGTCATGTAACAGTTGACCTTGATAATAGTAAGGAAAAAGTCCTTCTCTTGTCATTATTTTCTCTAACATGTTAACAATCAAACTTGAGTTTCACTTCTATTTTAAAAGGCCCACATTCAGCAAACTAGTTTAGAATGTCAACTAAATCCATGAAAATTTCTCACAGAGGGCAAAGAGACTATGTAGTAACCTGAAAATTCAAAACCAGAATTGGCTAATTGTATATTAAGTTCTAACAGTCATTTCCCCCTTCATTATTACTGGAAGAAGTGCTTAGGAATCACAAATTTATTAAAAACTTCACAGAAAGTGAGATATGGTGGTATGTGCCTGTAGTCTCAGCTACTCCAGAGGCTGAAGTGGGAGGATCACTCTGCCTTACAGAGTAGCCCCAAGTAAGAACAGCAATGGCAGGTCAGGGAAGGACAGGCTGACTGGGGCTGGCATATTTGATCTCTCATTTTCAAAGCTGATTATTTTCCAGCCAGGTCTTATTTTTGGGGAAAAGAACACGTGTGCACACGTGTGCGCACACACACACACAGTATGTATGTTTAAACCATTAAATGATCAACTCTCCCAGTATGATCAAGAATGACAGATTTGCAAATATGTGAAATTTTCAGTTCTCAGGAAAATGAGACAGCTGGTTACCCTTATCTTAGTAGCACATGTATGTTATACTTTACTAAATCAAGCCTTTGGCAATCTGTGTAAGAAGGAGTCATGAACTAGTAAAGCTATGAATGATATGAATACTTTGGTTGAGGCAACAACCTCACAAAAGTTTTTTACTATCAGAATGGCTACAAAGAGTAATAAATTATGACAGGCATAATTTATAAACTTAAATCTTTTATTTCACTATGTGAAACTTATTGAAGGAGTAATAGGTAAGGAAAAGGGTCACAATAACAGAGTGAAAAGTAGAAGAGAAGCTGTGCATGGTGACGAACATCTGTAATCCCAATACTCTGGGAGGCTGAGGCAGGAAGATTGCTGAGTCAAGCCTAACCTGGACAGTATAGCAACTTAGATCCTGTCTCAAAATTAAATGAAAGGACTGGGGATGTAGTTCAGTGCAAAGTCCCTAGATTCAATCCCCAGCACACCCTCCTCCTTAAAAAAAAAAGAGAAGAAAAAAGTCCATTTTATGTATAAAAGAGTAAATATTTATTCAAATATTGAAAAATGCTATTTGACTATCAGCCCCAAATAAGTTGTTCTTTTAAAGTTATCTTTTATCTTTGGTACCACTATGAATAAATAAAGTGGCAGGTTTCAGGAGGAGAAAGCTTCTGATTTTTAAAACTATTTTTATAATAGTTCTTTAGTGTTTTGTTAGTTGTTTTTCACAATACCAGGAAATGAACTCAGGACCTGTGTTTGAGGGGCAGGTGCAGCACCACTGAGCTAAATCCCCAGCATTCTTTCGTGTTTTGAAAATTAATTTCAATTTTAATTTGATAACTGATGAAAAGATGACTTCTTTAAAACCCTTTACATTATTCTGGCATTATCTTTCTCTTTCTAAGAGAAACATTATCAAATTTAAGCTAGGAGCATTTAAGTAACATTCTTTTCCTTTTTACAAAAATACCTTCTTAACCTGCATATTTCTAGGAAAAAGTAATAGTAATTACTGGTTAGAGAGAAACTGTAAAGGCACATTTCCCTAAAAACAAATGAACTCTAGAAATTAACTTTTGCTGCATGATATTTTTTTCCCCCATAGTGCATATTTTAAATGAGACTTCTCTAAAAAGTATTCTTTTCTAGAATAAGATAAGACTATAAGAGCAAGAAGCAATTTAAATATGTTCAGGGACCATTTTCATCTCCAGAATTAAGGATTATTTTAAAATTACATCATTGCTTTTTCTCTTTTACTTTCCTTTTTAGTTTGATTTTAGGATTCCCTATTTTTAATGTTCATACAGAGATTTCTTTAACTGAAATACCGAATAGTTTCTTTGGTGTGAAAAACTATAATAGTCCACAGGATCCTAATGAGATAATTAATAATGTGAAAGAGGAAGTAAAGGGCTAAAGGTGTAGGGAAAGTGGGAAGGGTGGGGGAAAGGTAATAAGGGAGAGGAAAAAAATATGAGAAACTGAAAAAATGGAAATAAAGTGTTTGTAAATGGGGAGGGGAGGAGGGGGTGAAGGGAGGGCAGGGAAAGGGAGGGGGAATGAGAATCAAGACCTATTATGTAAAGGTACAGAATCCCAACGATGAATGTAACTGTATTGTACACCTAGACTGTACCAATAAACTCAATAAAAGGAAATAAAAAAAAGGATCCTTTTATCATCTTGTTGTAAAGATGTATGCTGTGAATTAACTAGGTTTCTTTAGAGATACAAAGGAGGGGGGAGGGAGGGCAGGGAAAGGGAGGGGGAATGAGAATCAAGACCTATTATGTAAAGGTACAGAATCCCAACGATGAATGTAACTGTATTGTACACCTAGACTGTACCAATAAACTCAATAAAAGGAAATAAAAAAAAGGATCCTTTTATCATCTTGTTGTAAAGATGTATGCTGTGAATTAACTAGGTTTCTTTAGAGATACAGTATAAATTGAGAAAGTTGAAAATTCTTTACACAAGTTTTTAAAGAAATATACTTAAAATAATATTCAACAGAATTCATATCAGGAACAAATGTAGGGAACTGTAAAACCCAAAAAACCATAATGATAGATAAAATGTTTATAATCTGAAATAATTGGTTTAAAATTAAACAAGGAAATACAACACTAAGTTGATGTAAGGAAATGACAGGTAAGGCATACACTGCTTATCTTTAATAGCTTAAATGATATTTTCTCTGAATGCTCAGCTAACACTCCTTTGTTCCATCAAAATGTACCTAAAAAATACATATAATATTAGGAACAAAACTTAGGTTTCGGGCTGGGGATTTAGCTCAGTAACGCTGCACCTGCCTGGCAAGTGCAGGGTCCTGAGTTTGATCCTCTGTTGGTGGCGGGGTGGGGGTGGGCGTGAGGGACACGTACAGGATGGGACGGACATGGGACCTCAGGTTTCATTAAAAAAAATTTTTTTTAATGATCACCTCTTAACATTTATATTGCATTTTCCATTACCAAGTCCCTCCACAGAAATTATCTGACCTTTTCCTCATAATCCTGAGTAAGCAGGGCATATGTTAATTTACATTTAAATTCTGTAGCAAATTAAAAATAAACTGCCTGTAGTGTTTATGTGCTATAAGAAAATGTAGAGATTATAAAAGAACTGAACCACATTTAAAAGCGCAGTAGAAAGAAAGAAAAAAAAAAGCTCAGTAGAAAAGGGAAAGATTGATAACAGCAAAGAGATAAAAGGTTCATAATGGATATAAACAGAAAAATTTAGTTAAAAGCTTAAAAAAGAAATACAATTATCTTACTGTTAGTCTTGAAACTACAATAAAATTAGATAAAAGGGCAAAGGTTCTGCTAATAATGAATTGCTAATACTTTAATACTCAAACAGTAAATTCTCCAATAGATTGTTTAATGAAAATATTCAGATGAAAATGAATTCAAAGTGAAAGATAAAAGCAATTTACACACTTACAATGAATCTACTAAAATGCTTTTTAAAATGTTCACAGTTCGGGGAAATGCACATGAAATTAATAAATCAAGATACAAGTAAACACAGTATGACAATAATATAAAACAAACTACAGAAAAAATATTAGAGGGAAATATCCTAAAATATTTATAGCTGTTATCCCTGAAAGAATAGACAATGAGATCTGTTTTTTACCCTACAATTTTCTAAAACTGAACGGAAAACCCTCAGTAGGCCCTGACTTAAAAATATAGGTGTCACCTAGCTTTTGTACTTACATCTCAATTTTTGATAAGCCAGATTCTAAATGGTTTTAATGAACGGAAAACCCTCAGTAGGCCCTGACTTAAAATGTAGGTGTCACCTAGCTTTTGTACTTACATCTCAATTTTTGATAAGCCAGATTCTAAATGGTTTTGCCACTAGTTAGCTATGTGACTGGTCACATTACTTATGTTCTCTGCATCCCAGTTTCATCACTTTTAAAATAAGAAAATTGTACAAAGTGATGTCTTGGTCCCTTCAGCTCTAAAACTGTGTTTTTGACTGAAAGGGTATGTGGGGGCACAGTCTACAAGGAATAGTGATGTAGTTTTATTTATTTTGCTTATTTTTTTCAAACTGAAGAGCCATTAAAATTCTAAATATCAAATAAATTAAAATGATGCATTTTTTCTTTCTTTTTTTTTTTTTGAGACAAGTTCTTACTACAGCCTTTAACTCACTAGGGAACCCAGGCTGACCTGAAACGTGGCACTCCTCCTGTCTGAGGCTTCTGAGTGCTGGGATTGCAAGTGTGTACCACCACATCTGATTTAACATGATTAACTTCTTAATATTCTTGATAGGAATGATAACAAATGCCTCATAATCATTTAAAGAACTGAGATTATTCATGAAGTTTGTCTATTTTTCTCAGAGATTCACATCATCAATATTAGCTAAAGAATGGACACCACAGAATTACTAAACTTAACCTTAACTTTTAAGGTTGAAAAATCTTTAAATAAAACCTTTAAAGGGTATCTGTTACAAAGGATTTGAAAAATAAGTCATTCCATTCAGGAGAGTACACGTCGCTTGAGTTTGGGTAAGATAAAGACTGAAAAACTTTAGGCCTTTGCAATATAATCTTAATTTTCTACAGCTCTTAATAATGGCCCAGGATTTTGGGGGACCACTGTAGCTAGCAAACAAGGTATTTAATTGTTATCCTACAGGGAAAACACAGGACTGCTATAAAACTTGTTCTGCTCACTGTATATGAAACGCACTACTTGAAAGGGAACATCATGGCTTTTCTGTGCTCCTGTTTTGTGTTCATTTAATTTTTTGTGTTGATTTTTAATACAACACTTTTCTATTAAGCACAATGACCTAGGAGCCTCATTATTCAAAACAATTTATAGAAACTGTAAAAAACATATTATGTTAGAAGTCCAAACTCTGGATTCAAAAACATGTCTCCATGACTGTTATTCCTTGAACTCTCACATTCCACTACAAGCAGATGGAACTCACCTTGTCCTTACAGGGCCTTTGGCAGTTCTGGGCTGCACACACAGCATTCTCATCATCAGATTCCTCTGCTCCTGACCAGTCATACTTGGAGGGGATGTCCAGCACTTTTTTCTCTCTTTTCTTCTCAGTACTGTCTTTCACAAGTTCAACTTTGGCAGCTGCAGCCTTTTCTTTCTTTTTCTTTCTCTCTTCTTCTTTTGCTAGTTTCTTGGCCAATTTGTTCAACTCCTTTGATTTGTCTGCATTTAATTTTAGTTTCTTCTTTTTGGGTTTGTCCATTTTCTTTAGCTCCTTGGATTTCTGTTTTCCTTCTCCAAAAAGTTGTTCTACCTTTTCTAGCTTCCGTTTCCGTTTCTTCTCTGAAGAGTCTTTTCCCTTCATTTTTAATGGTTTCTCTTCCATGCTGTCATCCTTCAAAAATGTAAAATTAGAAACAAAATTGTCATTCTAAAGATACTTAAAAGGCAGATTAAGACAAATACAAAAACAACAAAAACAAATATATTAGTAACTCAAGAGTGGAAAATAATGACAAGCTCTAAATAAGGTACTGACTTATTTTCAGCCTACCATAGAAAAAGAGATCAGTGTTATCATGTATTAATATAGTCTCTTCCATCTCTGTTTAGGAGATGGAGTTCTACAACTAGAAAGCTAATTGTACTAAATCATGCAAATAATTTATAGTACCAGGCACAGTGGCACACACCTACAATCCCAGCTACTCAGGAGATTAAAGCAGGAGAATCATCAAGTTAAAGGCCAGCCTGTTTAGTAAGACCCTGTCTGAAAATAAAAAAATAAAAAGGGCATGGAGTGTAGCTTAGTGGTAGAGTGCCTCTGGGAGTTCAATCTGCCAAATGTCCCCCCCAAAAGAAGTTTTTAATTCAACAAATTCTTAGTGGTTAAGAAGTCATCAAAACTGTCAGCAAAACATATAAAACTGTATCCATGATCTAATTATAAATGGTATATACTGACTTGAGCAAGGGTTAAAAATAGTTTAAATCACACACACACACACACACAAACACACACATGTGCCCAGGGCTGGCGACTTAAGCTCAGTGCTGCCACCTTCCTTGCAAGCGCAAGATCCCAAATTCAACACCCCTGGTACCAAAAAAAAAAAAAAAAAAGCCCAA